CCCGGCGGGTCTGGTCCCCCCTCTGCCTCCCACTCAGGAGCTGCATCCACACCTGACTCACGTGGGGGTCACACCTGCTGGCACCTGTGGCCAAGCCTGATTTCCAGCCTGGCTTGGCACAGGCATGAGTTCCTCCCTGGGAAAGCTTCTGCCTCCATCCACACCCTCCCCAGCAGCAAGGACCCAGCACCCTCTCCAGGGCTGCAGAGCTCCCAGGATTTCCTTCAGCTGGGAGCTGGATGTGGTTCCTGGGATGGCAGTGCCCAGGTCTGAGCCCCTGGGGTGGGGGAAGGCAGGGGCCTGGCAGCATGTCCCTCCTCCTGCCCTCCCTGCTCAGCACCCAGGTTTACAACTACCTGAAAGGAAGTTGTAGGGAGGTGGGAGTTGGGCTCTTCTCCCAAGTGAATAATGACAGGACGAGAGGAAATGGCCTGAAGCTGCACCAGGGGAGGTTTAGACTGGGTATTAGAAAGAATTTCTTTACCCAAAGAGTGGTTGGACAGTGGAACAGGCTGGGCCGGGGGGGGGGGGGGGGACCAACCCCTGCAGGAAGAAATACAGATACAGTGCTTAGTGACATGATTTGAGCACTGAATGGGTAGATGAGGTTATGGCAGGGGGACTGAGGTTATGGTTGGACTTGATGATCTTCAAGGTCCCTTCCAACCAGATTCTGTGATTCTATCATGTAAACCATGGCATGGATGGGGCCTCTATGGGACACTGCTGGCCATGCCAGTGAGCCCCAGGCCTTGCACTGGGAGGACACCAGCACCCCCCTGCCCCAGTGCCTGGGCACAGGGAATGTCACAGCTCAGCCTGTAGTGGCTCTGGGACTGAGACATTGCAAAGCTGCGTCTCCTCTTCCTTCCCCCTGGATACCCAGAGCTGTGACCTGGCGTGTGCTCCTGCCCATGAAGTCACTCCTCTCTGGAAAGGGTTTAAACAACATAGCCCTGAGTCTGGGCAGCCTCAGGAGCTCTCCCAGAGCAGCAGAAAAAAGGAGAACCACTTTGTAGGCTGGGCAGACAAAGCCTGGGCATCTCTGCGAGTGGAATTTGCTACAGGGCAAAACTCAGTGAGAAGGAAAAGAAGAAAGAAAAACAAACAAGCCCAGAAGAACTAATTGCTGGGGCTGAGCACAGAACAAAGTCTCCCATGGTCTCATGTCCCTCAGGATGAACAAAGGTGGGAATTTGTTGGCAGGGGGGGTGCAGAGCTGGCTGCACGTGAGCTTGACCAGCGAGGGGGCAGGGAGCATGGAGCTGGTGGTTTTGGTGTGTGGCATTGCCTGTCAGCATGACACTGGATGGAGGACACCTCCTGAGGTGATGGACAAAGATCCCACCAGATCCCACAGGCTCCCTGCTAAACCACAGGCCTGTGCTACAGGGAATGCTGCAGAGACGTGGCTTTGCTGTTGGAGCAGCTGCCAGGCTGCCCTCTGGGGACAGGTGTGTGTGTCCCCATGTGTCACAAGTTGCTGTCTGACTCTGGATGTGCCTCTTGCTTTCTTACCCTGCTGACAGTCCCAGCTACTTCCACCCTGAAGAGGAGGGGTATGCACAGCATCTCCTTTCCACCATCCTCACCACAAGGGTTTCTGCCTGTGGGTACCAGTCTGGCCCTGAAACATCACTGAAGGTACATTTATGGTCAGGCCTGAGATGCCCAGCCCCACATATCATGCTCCTGCCTCTCACAGTGCTCTTCTGGCACAGCACCCTGCTCTTGCTTGATCCTGTCCTGAACACAACCTCACCCTGGTGCTTGCAGCAGGGCTTGTTGGAGCCTTGGCACCCCACAAACCCAGGTGTGGGGCACCCCATAAACCTGCAAGCACCACTCCACTAGAGGAAAGCCTCTTCTTATAAATCACTCCCTGCATTGCAGGGCTCTGTCTCCCCAGTGAGCAGGTTTTCCAGGGATGGAGCCACTTGTCTCCCCTGCCCTGGGCAGTGCTGGCCTTGGAGGGGAGCAGGTCTCTCCCAGCAGACGTGGTGGGTAATAATCTGGTAAGAAATGCTTGTCTTTCCTGGCTGCCTGACAAAGGCCAAGGCCTTTCATGCTAGAAACTTCTAGCTTGGAAATCAACATTTATAATTGTTTTAATTACCCTTGTGATCTAGTAATTTTGAGGGGAACCAGGAGTGCTGAAGAGCAAATGCTGTTATTACGCTATCACTTTTCAGCAGCCTTTCAGCACAGAGCCAGCAATTTCATCCCTGGAGAAGCTGTGAAAGGTGGTTATTAGTGTGCATCACTGCCAGCAGCCAGGGTCCCTCCCATCCCTGCTGGGAGCACCCACTGGCACGGGGAGCCATCACCCAAAATGCCACCATTTGGCTGTTGTGTAACCCAGCCTCTCTGCTCTGCTTTGCCTTTGCACTAACCCACACTTGTTGGGGTTTGGGTTTTTTCACCTCTCCTACAAAGACAGGCTGAGAGAGCTGGGGTTGTACAGCTGGGAGAAGAGAAGGCTGTGGGGGAACCTCATAGCAGCCTTTCAGTACCTGAAGGGGCGACAGGAAAGCTGGGGAGGGACTTTTCACAAGAGTGTGTAGAGATAGGACAGAGAGTAATGCCCTTCAGGTAGAGCAGGGTAGGTTTACATTGGATAGCAGGAAGTAGTTCTTTACTATGAGGGTGGTGGTGAAGTCTGGGAACAGGTTACTCAGAGAGGTGGTGGAGGCCCCATTCCTGGAAACATTCAGGGTCAGGCTTGATGGGGCTCTGATCAACCTGATCTAGTTAAAAAGGTCCCTGTGATTGCGGGGGGAGCTGGACTAGATGGCCTCTAAAGGTCTCTTCCAACCCCACACATTCTATGATTCTAGGATTATTTTTTTTTGTCTGCTTTTCATAAAGGAATAGGAGGGGTTTTGCTGGGGTGGGGTCACTGCCAGGTTCATTTCTGGTGCTTTCTGGAGCATTTTCCAAAGTCGGGAGCCTCCCAGGTTGCTCCCCAGCGACATCACACAGTCCAGCAAAACACCCACCAAGTGTTCCTGTTTACAGGGAGTAACTACAGCCTGCTGTAGTTATCAGCATGTAGTGCTACTTAATTAATATTTGGGAAGTGTGTGGATGACCCAGGGCCCAGGGCCCAGGATCTCCACAGGGCCCTGTTGCTGTTAATTACCAGTAACCATAATAGCAGCTGTCGGGGCGCAGGGGCTGGCTCTGCAGGTTTGAAGTCTGCTCCCGTTTGCTCCTCAACCAGCACGTTTGCCACGGCTGTTCCTGGGTCAGGGAGATGCTCATCCTAGTGACTGTTCAGTGGTTTGCCAGGGGTCACTGCCCAGGCAGGGATGGTTGCCAAAGCTGAGCCAAAAGCAAGAGTTCTTTCCTTTTTCCCTTCCTTTTTGGTGAAATGAAAGAGGGAAGTGAAGAGAAGGGATCTGATTTCCAGGAGCAGAGGGAAGGGACATGCAGTGTGCAGTCAGCCTGCCCCACATGCTGAAACCAGCAGCATAAATTGAGTGAGGATTTGGAAATCAGGAATCAGGAAAAATCCCACAGCTCCTCTGCGGGTGACCACGAGGAGCTAAAACCCCTTTGCCTCACAGAAACCCCGTCACCGCCCGCGCTGCTTAACCCACTGCTCCCGTGGTGTGTTTGTTTGCCAGCAAAAATCCAGTGGGAAAGGGCTGTTCAACCTCACCTGCAGCCACCTCAACCTGGTGGAGAAGGAGTATTTCGGGCTGGAGTTCCGCAGCCAGGCCGGGAACCAGGTGAGTGCGGGGCTGGGCAGGGGTCCCCCCTGCTGCTCCGTCCCCCAGCGACTGCCCCCGTGCCCGGGGGGGCTTCCCAGCACCTCCCTGGAGTAACAGATGGAAAATTCCCACGGAGAGGTTGGCCACAATGCCAAAAAAATGAAAAAACAAACCCTTGAGATAATGGGAGCAAGGAGGGAGTCACGGGGTGGTTGGCAAAGTCCTGCTGGCCCAGGGGGGGATTCTGGGGACACCCGTGGGGTGGGAGTGGCCTCAGCAGGACCTCTTGTCACAGCAGCCGAGCTGGCCAACATTTCTGTGCTGCTTTACAGTGTGATGCTGCTGCTTTTATTCCCCACCCCCCCGCCCCCCCCTTGCCTCTTAGGCTGTTTATTGACCCAGTTCTCTACTGCTTTATTTCAGGTCTGGTTGGAACCACTAAAGCCCATAACAAAGCAAGTCAAAAGTAAGTATTTCCAGAATTCAATTCTTCTAAATCACTGCCAGTGACAGACCAGTGCAGGCACATTTGTGCAGCTTTTGTTGCCTGGGGATGGTGGGGGCTCTGGTTTCCAGGATTCACCTGAGATCATTTTATAGCATAAGGTTGGGCAGGATTGTTTGCAAAGACACCACGGTCCATATCAAACCCTGTGGATCCTTTGCAATCTGGTGACCTGCACGGGCTCAGGCTGGAGCTGTTAATGACTTGGCAGGTTGGTGGAGGGGCAGGGGCTGTGCTGGCAGCAGGGCAGGGCTCTCTGTGTGCCCTCCTTTCCCCTCTGCAGCTCCCAGCAGCCCAGGTGCCCTGTGGAGCTGGGTTCTCCTGGTGCTTCCCGGGATCTGTGCTCCTCTCCAGCTCCCTGGCTGCCCCACTGGGGTGCTGAGGAGCCTGACCTGAATTCAGGCTCAGCATCCCCTGCCCTGGCCAGGACCAGTGTTCACACAGAGCCCCTGTCAGCCTGTGCCTGTTTCCACCATTGCAATGGGCCAGATGGTGTTTTCCCCAAATACAGGACAACTTAGGAGCTGGTCAAGAGCCCGAGGCCACCACCCCGGTGTGTGCCATGGGGCAGCTGCAGCACAGTGCTTGCATTAATTTCTTTTAAGGAGAAAGCCTGATAAAGAGCATCCCTTGCTGGGTGCATCAGAAGTGGGATTATTTCAGGCACCAGTTTCCCCTTTCTTGCCTGCTCTTTCAGGATCCTGTCCCCGTAGGGACCTCTGAGCATTCCAGGGTGTGCTGTGCCTACAAACTTGCCTCACTCCCTCCATGCACTTTGCCTTGGGCTGAGCCACTTGCTCTCACTCATCCCACAAAAAAAAGCTTTGCCCAAACTGTGTCCTATGGAGCTGTTGCTTCCCAAGTGCTTGGAGGGCTGAGTTTAATGTCCAGCCTTGCTGATGGCAACTAAATTGGGGCTCTCACCATGCCCCAGGCAAGCACCCCTGGCATTGCTCCATGGAACCCCCCCTCCTGGCAAGGGTCTTTGCAATTTTAGCATTGGGGCTCTCACCATGCCCCAGGCAAGCACCCCTGGCATTGCTCCATGGAACCCCCCCTCCTGGCAAGGGTCTTTGCAATTTAGCATTATTCAGGTGTCCAGTTCCCTCTTTGTTTCCATCAGTAGCACTGGGGTCTGGGCAGGCTGGTTATGGGGGCTGGGTGGAGTCCCTGGTGCTCAGGGCTTCCAACCCTGGTTTTTAAGGGCCCCGAATAATTTGCTCTGTAAGAAGACAGCATGTGTGAAGAGAGTTGTAAATGTTCTCAATAGACACGTACAAGAAAACTTATGAAGATGTTGTGTTTTAAGATCCTAAGGAGGTTCTTTTCAAATTTATGGTGAAATTTTTCCCAGTGGACCCCGGCCATCTGAGAGAAGAGCTGACAAGGTACAGTACTTGTTCTATTATTGTCTTACCACACAATTTTTAAACATTTTTTTCAATTGCAAAGCATGTGTTGAATTCCTTTCTCCACCCAAACCTGTCTGTTAGCAGCAGTTATTCTAAGTACTGAAAGAGCTCTGTGCTTACAAATCAAAAACCAAGAGAGCATCTTGTCTTGATCCTCTGTTTTTAAACAAAATCCACTTGAAGGATCAGCCCTCTGAAGAGTCTGCAGTTTGTTTACTGCCAAACACTTTAGCATTGGGCACCAAGTCTGACTTTGCTCAGTCTAGCTCCTGCCTCAAGCTGTGTTCTGAAAGAAGAACTTTAATGTTATTTTTAAAAATGACATTGTTAGTCCTTATCCTTCAGAGCAAGCCCTGCAAACTGGAGCTAAGAATAAAACCCGGATGGTGCTTCTGCAGGACAGGAGCCCTGAGAGATGCAAATGTCCTCCAAAGCATAAAGGAAAATTAACTCTGAAACCTATTAATGGGCATTTCAGTGGCAGGAGCATGTTGGTTGTGGTGGTGCCCAGCTGCAGCCTTCTGCAGGGGCTGTGCACTCCTTCTGGACCTCATGGACCTGCACCCCTCGGGCTGAAATATGGGCAGGGAGAGGTGTGGATGCAGCCAGCCCCTCACAGCAGAGCTTTTGGGGCTTAACCCAGCGCCAGGCCCTCTGCTGAGCCCAGCTCCCTCCCACGGCACGCTCCTGTCCCCTCCACAGGTACCTCTTCACCCTCCAGATCAAGAAGGACCTGGCGCTGGGGCAGCTGCCCTGCAGCGACAAGAGCGCGGCGCTGCTGGTCTCCCACCTGCTGCAGTGTAAGGGCAGGCGAGTGCCCACAGGGCCCGTGCCCCTTCCCTGGGGACACCACGGGGTTCTGCTTTGGCTGCCTAGCCAGGGGGTTCCCCTGCAACGACCCCCTCACCATCTAACCCCCTTTCTCCTCTTGCCCCCTGCAGCTGAGCTGGGTGACTTCCATGACGAGACGGACCAAGAGCACCTGGAGACCCACAGGTACCTGCCCAACCAGGAGTACCTGGACAACAAGATCATGCACTACCACCGGAGGCACCGGTAAGGGCTGCTCTGCACCGTGGCCACCCAAAGCACCCACCTGCCAGGGAGGGGGCTGTTGCCATCAGCAGGCAGGGCTGGCAGCAGGATGGCTGTGATGCCAGTCTCTGCATATCCAAACGGGCACCTTTCCCAGCCCATTCCAGCAGCTGCCTTCTCCCTCTTGTTGCTTTTGTGTCTCCAGTGGGAAGACGCCAGCCGAGTCAGACGTTCAGCTGCTGGACGTGGCCAGGAAGCTGGAGATGTATGGGATCCGCCCACACCCTGCCAGCGACGGCGAGGGGACACAGATCAACCTGGCTGTGACACACATGGGGGTGCTGGTCCTGCGGGTGGGCACAAGGCTGGGGGCGGAACGTTCTCCTCCCGTCTGTGTGCTCTCTCTTTGCAGCTACCTGACAGGAGGTGGTAAAAGAGGTGGGGATGGGGCTGTGCAATCAAGTCACAAGTGATAGGACAAGAGGTAATGGACTCAAGTTGTGCCAGGGGAGGTTTAGGTTGGATGTGAGGAAGAATTTTGTCACCAGAAGGGTTATCAGGCATTGGAACGGTCGGTGGTGGAGTCCCCGTTGGAGTCCTTATCTCTGGAGGTATTTACAAGTTCTATAGATGTGGGACAAGGGGCAATGGATGCAAACTGGAGCACAGGAAGTTCTACCTCAACATGAGGAAAAACTTCTTTCCTATGAGGGTTACAGAGCCCTGGGACAGGCTGCCCAGAGAGGTTGTGGAGTCTCCTCTGGAAACTTTCAAGACCCCCCGGATGTATTTCTGTGTGACCTGCCCTAGGTGGTCCTGCTCTGGCAGGGGGGGTGGATTTGATGATCTCCAGAGGTCCCTTAGGGATACAGTTAAGAACTTGTCTGTGGTTGATGGTTGGACTCTGTGATCTTTAAGGTCTTTTCCAACCAAAGTAATTCAGTGACTCTGTGCTCCTAATCCTACAAGAGCAGAGCTGGGGGTGTGGAGCTGATGCTCCAGGGCAGGGCTCAGTGCCACCATCCAACCAGTGCTGGCTGCCTGCCAGCCCGGCCGGCCGGGGTCTGCCGGCCCTTGTTCA